TCCCTCCTCTCTCTCTCTCTCTCTCTCTCTCTCTCTCTCTCTCTCTCGTTTTTTTTTCACTCATTCTCTTCCTGCCACTTTGTTTTTTTTATAAATATATTTATCTTACTTTCTTTCTCTCTGTCTTGCCCTATCATTCTTTTATTCCTATATTTCGATTCGTACATTTTTTTTCTTTGATCGTTTCAATGTTACCTGACTTCCTTAATTTTTATTCTAATTTTATTGTTTTCGTTCTCTTGTTACTTTTAATCGAGTCACTTGGTTTATTCTAAACTCCCACATATGAAAGTTACGTTCACTAGCGCTCGCGCGATACAGAGCGCTTACATTCATAATTGATATTTTTTTAAATATTGCGGAGCTTGCGTTATAATACAAGTCACGACATTTCAGACGAGTAGATCTTTGATCGTGTTTTAAGCTGTTTTAACGTTAACGTTGCATGCTATACTATTCGTTTGACAAAGATACGAGTCGTTTATTTGGAAAATGAACCAAGTCATCCAAATCTTGAAACAAATTAAATGAGTTTACGTTGACTTTTCGAAATTTATAATATTTCAAAAAATAGATTTGTATCACTACCAAGATAAACGATTCGCATATTTGTCTATATATACGTGGATCCTTTCCCGAAGACTATCAGTCTTATTATATAAAATCGATTAAAGTAGAACTACACTCCTGTATTTATTACTTGTTTATACCATATTTTTGCATAAAATTTGTTTTTCGATATGTTATATCTATAGTATCGATATAACGTCTTCGACGAAAGTTCTACGTCTCATTCATTTACAACCCTTTGAGGTCGTGACACCGAAATAAATTTTCGTTTTATTAATTTTAAAAGAATATTATTTAATTCTAGAATTACATTTTACATGATTTTAGGCAGTCTATACACATTTCAATATTGAACTTGTTATAAAATCTTTTCTCTCTCGAAAAATAAAAAAAAATACGATAATATAATAATCGTCGATGCTTTCGAATCTCAAGGGGTTAACGTCGTTCTGTTACACGCATGACTAGTTGACATTCATTGAGTTCATTTGGCAATCACAAAAACATGAATTTATTAAACGCAGGAACTCGAGCACTAATTTATTTCACTATATTTTACTATATTACGTCGTTATCGCATTGAAACGTACACAATAATTTCGCACGGTTTGTTAATATGTAACATTTATATATATATTACATATGTATATCATTATCTGTTACTTTTTTCTCTATCACGTGGTCATACGTTATTCGAGTTGATTTTTCACATCTTTCTCATACAGCGAGAACATCAATGTCAATAACTATGTCATTCTTTTAACAGAATGTCGACCTACATCGAATAATCGTAATCCCGCTTTCAAATAACTCATGATTATTACACTATTAATCGTTATCATTTCCCTTTCTAGGTAATAACATGAAGAAATGCCGTGCTAGGTATGGATTAGATCAACAAAGCCAGTGGTGCAAACCTTGCAGGTACGTGTGTTATGTGCAAGAGCTTCCTTTCGATATCTTGTGCTTGTACGACGAGATAATCGTTAGATCGCGCGTATAATCTTCGTGATTGGCGTGTAAATACGTGCTAAATTTTACGAAAGCCTGTGATTGGCAATGTCATGTTTATCGATCATATTCTTAAAAATTTATGTCTTGTCCGCTATTAAAATGATGTAGAGAACATGGTATTCGGAACATTTTCGTTCATCGATATCATTAATTTCGGAAAAAAGGATATTGAATTGTCCGTCGCGTAACGTCAATTCTCTCTCTCTCTCTCTCCTCTCTCTCTCTCTCTCTACTACTACTACTATACTCTACTCTCTCTCTCTCTCTACTTCTCTCTCTCTCTCTCTCTCTCTCTCTCTCTACTCTCTCTCTCTCTCTCTCTCTCTCTCTCTCTCTCTCTCTCTCTCTCTCTCTGTCTGTCTTTTAATATAACAAGCATATAATTTAACAATTTACGGTAATACAATACGCGAGTATCTCATTTGAACATACTCCAGCGATTCTAAAATGATTAGACGATTCGAAAACTTGCAAACAAATTTCAATATGTACGACTAACAACTTTCTTCAAGATTATTCGCGGTATACCGATCACGATTCTAATATCTTCGACGTTCGCTATCTCGTATCGGTCTCGGACCCCGTTCCGTCATCCACATGTTAATCATGGAACTTGAAAGAGAGAAGACATTGTCAAACGGCATATTCCAAAGCGTACATGTACAAGTACAATCGGTGACGCAGTACGATGTGATGCGAAACAGAGTCGCCTTGCGATCAATCATGAACGACTCGCACTTGCCGTGACGATACTATCTTCCTATCGAATCTACGAGTATAATATAGAGCGAACGAGGAAAGAAACGCACAGAGAAAAAAGAAGGTAGCGCGGAGCGAAGCTACGCGCGACCGTCAGAAAATGTGTCTTCCAAAAAGTGAAAAAAGAAAAAAAAAAAAGAGGGTGAACGACCAGTCTTCTCCCTAATTGCGACGCAGGGCGCAATTGTGACGCCATGTCCAACTGTACTTGGCTTGTAAATATCAGTTTTTTAGAAACGCACTTTCGTAGTTTATCGCGGTATCACGAGCCACCCGTTTTTAGCGTCGACTATATTCACTATGTCACGGCATAGCCCAAATGCCCCAACTCCCGGCTGGGTTTGTGAATCTCATGGACCTCATTAAAGGGGCGAGGACAAATCCCATCAACGATTCTTTTTTTCTCCTTTCTTTTGTTATACAATGAGAGAAGGAAACAGTCCTTTGCGATAGCAAGTACCAAATTAAGCGTCATTTGGAGAGAACGTATTCTATCGATGAATCATCATCAATCTGGCAGTCGCCGCGTGCATAGGAATGAAACTGGAAGCATGTAAAATTCGTGTCATAAAGAAGCGTGTAAAATTCATCGTATGCGATTGCCTTTATATATTCTCATATTCTTTTTCTCAAAATCTAGTTTGCAAATGATCTTTATTGGACACTGCCGGACACATCTAGGTTGTTGCATTTGGACTTGGTCGATTGCACTCTGCATTAAATGCACGTAACTTACATGCCGCTTGTATAAGATATCATTGTGCTGAGCTTTCGATTGGTATTATATGTATCGCGGTTATTCCAGAAATCGTACTAGAGAGGAATGTAAAAACCGTGTGACAATATAAATATGTAGATCGTAGAACAGTCACCAATGTTCGTAGTGTTATCAGGTATGCTAAGATAAATTCTTTATCTCATCGTGTTAGTACGGATGATTTGGGAGACATATTTTCTGATCAATATAACAATCTTACTGTATTCTACTCCATCTTTCTTCGTTCCCCTTAAAATTCAAGCTTGTTTCAACGAGGCCGGCAATGCTACAGCCACGATACCCAAATACAAGACCTAAATTATTATTTAACTATATTCTAGTCTAAAATTTTATTTTTCAATATTCTATTATTAGATTATTGTTAAAATGTCTAACTAAAGAAATTCGACAACGATCATTTTCTATTTCTTAGAGGAGAGCGATACGTAGAATGATATCTGGCATCGATATCGCGCATTCTGGAATACAGAAAAAAAATTGCATGATAATCTTGATAGTTAAGTACTAACAACTCGCCGGTCTCATTCTTGCGATTTTACTATCACGAGAGCTCTAGGGTCGGAAAGTTAGAAAAGTAATTTGAGGTAGACACACGTGCGTGTGGGTGACGACACGATACGGTGCGAGATTGAGGTGGGATTAAGTCGACGATATGTCTTAGCGAGAAAGCGCCCCTTTAATGGCTGGTGGTTGGTTTTGGCAGCCCAGTGGAGCATGGAGCGGGGATGGGCATCCACGCGAGCATTATCCATCATGGTGTGGGAAGTAGCGCGGGGGCAGGGGTCGGGGCTGGAGGTGGTGGGGGGACGGTGGGTACAGCCGCCGCCCCGCCAAACACTAACACTGCCTCCAATGCCTCTTCGCCTCAGCAAGAACCCACTTATGTTAATCTCTAGTCAAGCCTATCGCCTCCCTTCTACTGCAACACTTCTTCTTAAACAGTGGTCAGTCCCGACTTAAAACCTACCGGGCCTTCGTCGGTCCTCGCTATGGTCAGCCAGTCGCTCGAGAGATAGCTCAAAAGATTTTGCTATACCTCGTAACTATATGTTGAACTTTTTTTTTTTCTCCTGAAATTTGACGAAAATATAGAGCTCTTTAGACATCATCTAGTAGGAGGATACGAGCGAGGAGCCCCCATAGTAAGCGGCACGACGGTGGCCCGTGATGCTCGCATTGTTTCTCATTGTTGTGGCTCTTTACAGCTTATTATTGTTATTTATTTATCCCTCTCATTTAGTTGGAATTTACTCAGTGTTGCCCTTAGCATGGCTGATCTGTAATATATATCATATTATATTTACATCTATATATATGTATATATATGATATATCTATGTTAATACACACACACACACACACACGCACGCACGCATACACACACATACACACACACACGCACACTCATGTAACAATTATTTGCTCTTCGATTTCGAAACGTTTGACACACAAAAGATTTTTACACATTTTAATTTTTTGGCATGACAGTTCATAGAAGATCGAATCAGATGATTGCATTGTACGAATGTGTTCCTTTTTTACGTTACGTTTTTTTTCTTTTTTATTTTTAATATCTAATCATTTTTCTTTTTATAATATTTTATATGATAATGTATTTTTATACATATAATTCATGGCACTTCTTTGAAAAAAAAAAAAATTGCGCTAGCTAAATGCAGAACGTAGAATGAAATTTAAGTTGAAACTTTGCACAATATTATTATCAAAGTCTCGGACTGGATGGTAAATAACTATAATTACATTTCTTTTAACAAGATAGCTGTTTTGTACTTTCTATATGAAAATATTTATTCTTCTTATTAAAAATCAAAACGGAAGTTGCACTTTGGTATCTTGTAAAAAATATAATTTACAAGGCCAAATATGAAGAACAATTTTTCTGCGATTCGTAAATTAGTCGTAGCTATATATAGTTATATGTATATAATTATCAATAATACAATAATTTGACAAAGCTGACAAAGAAATAATGTTCGTTACGATCCAGCACGAGACTTTCAAATGCCATTCGTTGTCGTCGTGCACTAAAAGGAATTCAACTCTCGTAAATTTTGTGTAATGCTTTAACATTCAAGTGTGACTGCGAGTTAATAGCAACTTCCGTCGTCCTCGGCAGCACAGTCGAATTGAAACTAACTGATTTAGCTGAGAGATAAATAATGAGAGCCAATGGCAGAGCGGCAAAATGTCTCGACTGCAAAGCAGTTCTCGGACGAGGTCGGACAGGCTCACTTGTGAAAATTGTGCAGTAGCAAAACGCCTCTCTTCCTCTCGTCACACGGAATCTGTTCATCGACGTCCACCTTTTGCGCGATTAAAAACTTTATTTTGTAAAAACACTTTGCTATTATTCGCAATAATTCCAAGTTCCACATGACATATTATAACTTCCACTTTAGTGCGTCAATTGAGCGTTTTACGACAGATCGACGCTATGGGGAAAAAAAAAAAAAAAAAAAAGAATAAGCTCAATTCCCCATCGAGTTCTCGATTTAACCAATAATTCGACAGATGCCTTCCTGGCATTCCGATTGAGTTTTATTTCCTTTGTCACGTATAAATTTCTTACACATTATGCTTGTTACGTCCAAAGATCTTGAGCATGGCATTTGCGAGCGAGTGATCAGTGTCGAGCAATCGAAGCATCGTCAGGCGCACAAAATCGTTCCCTCTAGCTCTTGATTAAAGTATGAAATATAATTACTAACTCGAAAAGAAGTTTGTGCGTCTAACTTTGCGATGATGACGAGTAATCGCATGTTTTTTTAGTTGGTAATTATTTTAGATGTAACATTTTTTTATGGACACTACGCGTTTCCAACAGTGAGAGAATTCCGTCGAGTACCGAGTTCAATATAAAGTATACACAGATAAATTATATTAGACAAAGTTATATTAAGAATAGAATTAATATTAATTTAAAAATTATTTGATTCGTAATACTAAATCAAGACAAACTTCTGATGATGAGATCTTTACAGTTAAAAACATCATATTTGTGAACATTCGGTTTAATTACCAAAATATAAAGGAAAAAAATTGCAGTTATTTGCTAATAATATAATATTTAAATAAATTATCTCTCACGGATGGAAATTGCAATCATTGAAAGACAACATTACGTCCTATTTCGAATATCCGAATGAGTGCGCATTAATCGAGTTTCCGTCGTTATTTGCAGACGCAAGAAGAAATGTATCAGATACATGGGGGAGGGAGGAGACGGCGATGGTGAAGCTGATGGTGAGGCCGAGGATGATCATTCGGAGGACAACTTGGGTAGCGTAGGAGAGGCGGGAACTCCAGAGGAGGACGAGTCCCTCAGTAGCCCCGGGGGCCTATCCGCGTTGTCTAGTCTGGCGAGCCCTTCGTTGGTCTTACCATCACCCTCGAGTCTGGCCAGTCCATGCCCATGTCCGTTGACGCCCCCGGTGCCGCCTCCACCTCTGTCGAACACGAACCAGCCGATAACGACGACGACGACGGTGGCAGCGATGGCGGGATCGGCGGCGGCGGTGACATCGGTGGCAGCGCAGCAACAACAGCAACCGCAACCACCTCCACAGCCTCATCGCAATCCCGTCGGCACGAATCCTCACGACATTAATAATCCGCTCAGCGTGAATCAATTGACTGGACAGTGTATAAAAAGCGAACCCGCGCCTTCGGGCCCCTCCAACCCGGCAATCAGTGTTACGTAGCCCCGGCCGGACCCACGTGACCGAACTGTTGTTATACGCGGTGTCATCTATAGGGTCCGTCTACGTATACACGCGATGTGAAGGCTGGATGACAAAGAACTGATTGAAATGATGATAAAAATAATAAGTGGAAGAGAGCGAGAGAGATTTCTGAGGAGAGGAGGAGATCAAAAAAAGAATCTCCCCTTTGTTCAGTTTTCTCTTATAGTCTGATCTGATCAAAGAGAAGGGAGAGAAGAAGACCAGATAAACGGAGAGTGTGATAGTCTCCAAACACCTGAAGATAATACGAGGGCTCACTTACGAGATAGTTGAGCATGTGTTGAAATTAAATGCAATCCGTAATCTAAATGGCACTGTTAACGATTTGAATTCGGGTACGTAAAGTCACATCGCCGTTGTGGATTTATTTTGTCTTCGATCGTTCTCTTCTGGCCTCGCTCTTGTCCATTGTTCGCCGAAATAGGAAATGTTCAGTGTCCAAAGTTGGAAATAACAATCGAGACGTTATATTTGTGTTAACGAAAGAACAAAAATACTATGTGCAGAAATACTCAGGACCAAGTATTTGGTTGTCACCTGCTCGATAAAAAAGAAAAGGAAACGTAAGCGAGAGAGAAGCGTGAAAGAATATACGTGCACATATACATGCGTGCGCAAATTGGGATAGAGCAAGGTGCACAGATGATAATGCGACTGAGGAAGTAAGCTTATAAGCTGAGGAAAATGCGCGTGACGCAGCTTGTAGTCCTTGTTACGTTGTGATGCCAATGACTGAGAAGTCATGTTCCTGTGCCAGCTACTATACTCTAGAAAAGTAATTATATTGCGAACAAGTAGCTAGAAACGTAAAGCGAAAGAGGGTCGCGAGAAAAAAATAAAGCGACACGCACGCGCGCGCGATACGTTTTATTGTCATTTGTTTATTCGACCTCATCACACATTGGTGTGTCAAAATACCCATCTTCTATGTATATGTAATTTGTTATTTTTTTAAAAGTCTATATACAGTGCGGTTGATTAGCATGTAAGCTTACCGAATACCTTATTACCGAATCCCCGCTCATTTTCTCTCTAATACTCGAATACCTTTTTTTTCTCTCCTGTTTTCCCTCTTTTATGTCCCTTATTTTACATTTTTAATAATACTATCGTTAATAAGTGGCGCTATACGATTGACAAAGTTTTATAGCAATATATTTCTATAGAACTTGTCAAACAAATTGTTTTATTTGTGCGGAATATTATACTATTCAACTACGTAGTTACTAAGTTTTAATACATATCGATCGCGTATTAATATTGATAATACGTAATTGATATATATTAATAATACGTATAAAATTTCAAATTATCACAGTCAACTTCGAAAACATCGGTATATTTTCATCTTTTGATTCTTTTTTTGAATTGAAAGATGATTAAATTCGTAAATTCGTAATTTTGATTTAACAAAGACAATAACCGCACTAAATTAAAAAAAAAAAGAGAGAATAAAGACTCCCAGAATCAAGAGACGTGATCATCTTTTATAAAAAGATTGGATCGAGCTGCATTAAGTTACAAGCAGCGTTAAAAGGGACATTCTTGGGAGGATTATCCTGTAATATATTCATTTCTCCCTTGCATTTCTGTCCCTCTCATCAGATATATTTTCTGCCTCCCCTTTCACTCCTACGTGCTAACGTAACATGAGCGTTTGATGAACATATAGTAACGTCCGACTTAAGAATTAATTATTCGTAATTTATATGCGTGCGCATCAGAGAAACATGTTTCTCTCTCAAATCGTATAGAAAAAAATGTTTACCATTGGAACAATCACTCAATGATCAAAAATTATTTGACTTTAGGAAAGGAATCTTGTGAACTTGTGAAAAGTGACATTAAGTAAGTTTTATCAACGTTTTAGTTTTCTCTCTTTCCTTTATTAACGGAGTTTAGCACGTGGTGATCCAACGTTAAGATAGTACAGGTTTTTGTTTTTAGATACAAAATGATGTTACAGATATCTTTATTGACAAATTTGCATTTTTTCTGTTTTATTATATATGTTGTTTTTATCGTATTGATATGACTTGCAGATGTAAGCGAAAACGTACTTCGTTAACAATTAAAAAAATGCGAAATAATGTAAAATAATTAATATTTTTATTATTTCGTGAATTTTACTTTGAAAAATCTATTAATATTAGACAGCAGTAATTCTTCTTTCATAGATGAAATAGAAATTGTTAACCTTTTACGTATAGTGGAAAATTTTGTATAAAATTTTCTTGCAAAAAGATAGTTGTTTTATCTTTATTTGTCTTACATTAAGATTTTTAATGTTATAACTTTTTAAAATTGTTTATAAATTTCCTTTTTTATCAATTTAATGTTTTTTTTTTTTTTTTTTTTACGAAAATAAATAAAGTCTCTTAAACTTTTTTGCAACAAGACATGTTCTACATGATGGTACGTTTTTGTCAAAATCGCGTGTGATAATTTCATGCATGTTGAGTACAATTGCGATTAGAATTGTCAATGGCAGATCTTGTTGTTTCGTTATGCGACATTTTTTGGTGCGACGATTATAGTTTCTCTATCGTCTATTAAACCGAACCGAAAAGAAAGCGCGAAAAGAAAGGTCTTTCATAACAATTTATTCCGAAAGCAAGCATTTATTCCGAAAGCAGTTTTTCTTTTTGTATATAAAATAAATATGTTTTATATGATGCATTTGTTGCGGCGCATGGGAAAGTGCAATGGAGGGATGATGCCAACGGGAGAACGAAAGGGTGTGAAATTGCGCGCGTTTATACGCTACGAAACGAAAGTAGAGATTTGCGCGAGTGTGTGCTCGCGAACATTTATGACAATATCTTTCCCCTTCTCTCCTTTCAATGTGTTTCTCTCTCTCTCTCTCTCTCTCTCTCTCTCTCTTTTTTTATCTTTTTATACTCTTCCCTTTTTTTCCATTGAGTGGAATCACGACGCGGTGTTTGTACGACGAAAATAGTCGTGGAAACGCATCGAATGTAGCAAGCAAACTAAACGTGCCATAACGTCATGCCAATATTATCGATAATACATATTGTTTTTTAAACATTATAATCTATTCCTGTAATAACCTAATTGTGTCAATCGTGGAACATGGGCCACCGACGCAAACTTGCTTCTCCCCTTTTTTTTCCGTCCTTTCCATCGCCCTCTTCACTCGATCCATCGTTCTCTCTCTTCTTTCCTTCCCACTTTCTTCGTTTGTCGATCGAACTCGAGTTAAACAGACTGAAAACGGCGAATTTAGTACGAATCTTTTCGCGAGATCGAACTTTTCCTCATCGAACAATCTGTATGCTATATCAGCACCAGTTTAGAATTTTTAATTTTGGACTTGGTACTTGGTATTAGTATTTACGCTCTGTTACTTTTCCTATTCATATAAATCCTTTCCATCTATCGTCGCACGCTACGACGAAAACGTACAGTTACAAAGGGAGGAATAGGAAAGATAGACACTTGTGTGAAAAATATCGACATGTATCGATTCCAAACCCAAAATTACAAATTTTAGACTATACACTGTATTATACTGTATCGCGTGAATAAAGTGAAAAAAGTAAAAAGAAAGGAAAAAGACTCGCGGGTATGTACAGGATGTTCGATCGGGAAACCGAAGTACGAATCAAGTTACTATCTATCGAGTAAGTACGGGGCAAGGACAACCAGCAACGTCTCACGAGACGAGACGAGTGCGAAAGAAACGAGAGCGGCGGATTATCGCCACCACCAGCGGTACAACCGCGGTACCGACACACATAACACAGCACGAGAAAACGCAAAGACTCGCGCAAAGTCGGCGCGGTGAGTGAGAGACGTATGCGTGCTTGTACGTGATGACGATGACTGCTGTACTACCGAGGAGAGAGTGACGCGAGCGGGGGTTGATCCTCTCTCGATGGACACGGTAGTGTCGAATACACGCGGGACGAGGGAAACCCGCTCGCGTGCCTCGCTGCCTTTCGCTTGTCGTGTTAGGAAACGAAGCGATCTCACGCCTGTTGAGACTCGGCGACGGACTGCTCGGAAGATGTAAAACCGTCGCGCGTTCGATGTTACCGGATGTTATGGAAAGAAAGAGCGTACTTCTGCGGGACGCGGAATCGCGATTCTCGGAATGCGAGCAAAATACTCGCTCGACACGGCCTACGGTAGTCCGCTCGAGAAGAGAGGGTATCGAGATTTGCTCGCGAATCGCAGGTGAGAGACACACACCCCTTCCCCCGGGGGTGACGAGGGGTGACCAAGGGCGACTCGTGCCGACCGAATCGGCTTCGGAGCTCGTGTCTCGCTTCGAAGGAGTGATTGTATCATATTGTAAAGTATCAATCGACAGTTCTCAGCTGCGTTGTACAGTGTTTTTTAAGTATCTAGGCTGATAGTATGTAATTGAGAAGAAGGAACATTGTATTTACATTAATAAGCGATCTGTATCATTCATTCTCGTATAGCCTGTACTCCTACTCATGTAGATGCTAAAAGTGATTTGTGTCATAAAGAAAACCTATAAATAAAATTAGCACTTTGAGAACGTTGTCGGCCGCGTGTACGAGTTCTTTCACTCTTTCATTTACATTTTATCAAATCACGGAATCACGGAAGTTTTGCGTTTTGCGTTTTGCGTTTTGCGTTTTGCGTTTCAAGATCGTAAAACACTTTTTCTTTAGTCTTTATTTATTTTGTTAACAATTTTATATATATGTGTATGTGTGTGTGTGTGTGTGTGTCGAATTCTTACCGTAGTACGGTGGTCACACCAAATGGTGAATATGAGGAGAAACGTGAAATCGCTATCGATATTTAAATGTGCCAGAGTCCTTCGCGATCGAGAAAAAATGCAGGCTCGATACGTTAATCGCATTTAGAGTGTACACGTTCGATTGTCCGAGGTTGCAATTAGCCAGGAATATCTTGATCATTTTTACGATATTATCACATCTAAAGAGGCACGCGGCACCGTCGTAGGCGGACCTGCCTCGATCGTTTCTCGAGCACGGATCGAACATGTAAAATTTACCGCAATGTTGCATCACGGCTATCGCCAGATCGGCCGTGTGCAATATTCCGGCGCAATTCGTGCGGAAGAACATGGCGAGCGCCTCGGACAAGTCGAAGACGTGAAGTATTCCCGCGGTAGTATGATTGTGAACGTGAATGGTAACTCTGAGGTCGCCCAGGACGAATACGGTGAGCAATTCGCTGGGTGAGAGGTTTCTGGCGCCGGTACGAGCCGCTCGGGCGCTATCCGAGTACAGTGAGTCACCGTACCTGAGCACGGCATCGATCAGTTCGGGAGTCCACGTGGACGGCACGTGTAGTAGTCCCGCTACAACGGCGACCGCGGCGATCGCCGTGCTCTGCAGACCCCTGGTCCGCGGGCTGAAAGCGCGATGACTCATGTGCAGGCCACCACGCAGAATGCTCGACTCTTCGTCTACGACTTTATACTCGGTCAGCGGCTTCACGTTCGGCAACCCGGCCGCCGTTGTCCTCTTCTTCGGACAAGTGATCGACGAGATGGACGACGTCGACGGACGATCGTTCGAATACGATTGGAAATTAGCCGGCAATGGCAATGGCTCGATTATGACGGTGCTTATGATCACCCGACAGATCTCGAAAGCACCATTTCTATCGTGCGGATCGATATTTGCCAAGATCGTATCGTACAGAGGTTCTATACAGGCGAACCACATTACGCACGAGGTTCCACGATGATCTGGTAAACCCTGATTGTTTTTCGCTCTAGGATCGTACATAAAGTAGACGCCTAGATCCTTCCAAATGGCAATCATATTGCGATCGGTTATTAAAATGCCGGCACGGTTGTTTTGGAAGAATGTCCGCAAACCTTCCTCAAGTGAAATCGGAGAAGGTAATCGTCGTCCTTGCGTGATATTCTTGTCTCTATTAATGTTTTCATTCAATGTCTCTTCTTGCCTCTTTTTATCTTCCGAGACAAGAGGAGCAATTGTCACCAGGCCGATCACAGTATTAGATTCGATGTCAGCGGTCAGAATGTTGACACCTGGAAAAATGAATTTAGAAACGCGAAAATGTAAATATTAGTAAGAGTATATACTTAAAAATTAAATTTAAACGATCTAATATACAACATTTACAATAGTTACTTCAGCTTGCACTTTCCTATAAGTAAACGTTATAGTTTCCAATTTTAATGTTTATTATTATAAATATATAATATTAAAAAACTAGTTAATTAAAATGCTAAATTACACCGACCAGCATTCTCAATTAAAGATCTCTCTTTTTTTTTTTAAATTATTTCGTATATATTCAAAATAGAAAGAAACAACGAAAAAAAAAAAAATAAAAATACGCACCCACGTAGAATACTCTGATGATGTCCTTCGGTTTCAGTCTCGACTGGGTAGGTCTGATCTTTCTTGTCTCTCGGTGAATATTACTGCCGATCGCCAAGATCTCATCCATAGTCTTTTTCGTCCAAGTGACGGGACTTTTCACAATCGACATGCCAAGCGCAACCACACAATTCGCTGCTGTCTGTCGGCCGCGCAATGTCTCGGGAAAGATTTCGTCGCCCTGATGATAACTCCCATGCAAAATGGCACGCGCCTCGCCTCGTAATTTTTTGTAGGCGTTCAACGGAGGTAGATTCGCCGGTCGAATCCCCGGACTAGGATCGAGTTCTTCGAGTGGTGGTTTACTCCAGTCCGACACATCAATCGCGGTAATCTCGTAATCACCTTCGGTTCCTAAGTAACGCAGAAGATGTTCTACAAGGAGATTTGTATCCCTGAACCTAAGTACTCGTGGGACCGTTAACGTGACTTGATTCGTGGTAATGGGCCAATCGGGTATCAGAGCATAGTACGCGTTATTGATATTCTTCCATATGGCCAAATTTTTATTTTTTCGCACAGTTAACACGCCAGCCTCGTACTTGTCGAAGAAATTGTTGATTCCGCTTTGTAAATTTTGAACCTTGGGCGGTCTTCCAATAAGACTACCCGCTTCAACGCAATCCTTGATTGTCAGAGCGATGCGCCGAGTGGACAGGAAAAATTCGCTGATGATCTCATTCACCAGAGGCGCCGTTTCTCCGCCGAGTCTTTCGACGCATTTTGAGTGCAGCTTATCACCGGTAACGATAACTTCGTCGAGAATTGACGGTGTCCAGAATCTCGGTAAGTAGACCTTTATTTATTAATTTTCCATGTTAGTTATTTAGACGCGTGGCCTCGAGTTATATATATATAAAAATTAATATTATAAATAAAATTAATTAAATTAATATATGAAGAGAGACCTTGGAAAAGACAATAGCCATCGCGGCAATAGCCGCACTTTGCATGCCGCGATTCGCTTCGTCGAACCTTTCGTCCGTCATGGTGACACTACCATCGATATTCCAGACACCATTGGCGAGTTTAGGAAAATGATGCCATAGATCTTCGCCGGAAGTAGTCTTCTTGACCCGTTGAGCTTCGGCCACTCGCGTCACGTACGTATTTTCAATTGTGACGGCGTCGATAACAACATTCTCGATTGTCTCCTTTGCAGCTGTCCGGAGAACATTAGCCAACGAAGAGATATCGGTGAACCACATAACTGCCGCAACTCCATCCGTATCAGGTTCACCTTGAGCATTCCTGCCCCTAGGATCCATTGTGAAGAACACCCCGCCCTCTTTCCAGATTGGCATCATTATATCGCCCTGGCGAAACACTCCCATGGCATTTCCCTCAAAAAATGATTCTAGCAATCTTGTTATGTCGGTCATTCCCCCGACGATGGATTCTTCTTCAAGCTCGATCGACATTCGATTGACTCCTATGACGAAATCTTCTATGATTTCCGACGGAAGAAGATAATTCCTGGGTACCTCTTCTTCTAGCTCTTCGGGCAAATTTATCAAGTTCTTCACAGTGAATTTGTCACCAATCCTCAAGATGTCATCTATAAGCTCGGAATGCCAAAGATGAGGATTGTAGAGTTTTGTCATCGCTAAAGCCACCAGAGCATTTGCTGCCTGTTGTTTATCTCTTGTTTGTCGCTTAAAGGCCAATTCGTTTCTTTGATCGATGGTACCCAAAAGTAAAGCGCCGGTATCACCTAAGTTGGAATAGTTATTTAAATCCGGCAAGACCGGTATCCGTTTATCCGCCTCGATTTCCTCGTCTGTCATCAGTACGCCGATAGAAACATTTTTTAACTGATGTATCACGAATTCATTTTCGCCTTCAACATCTTGTCCTGCATTTTTCTTGATGAGATTCGTTAATGCTGACAGATCCGAAGTGCGTACTACACAAGCGGGATTTTCTTCATCTTTCTTTGCCGACAGTTGACCCAGTTTATCTCGAGGATTTGGGTCGAAATAATAATAAAATGTCTGCTTTTCTTTATCCTTATTCTCGAGTGCCTCTTCTTCTTTCCATACTGCCACCGAGAGTCTCTTCGTTTCGACTATTCCATGATTTTTGTTCTCGAAAAATTGACGTAACCCTTCCTCTAAATTGGGCAATTTTGAATCATCCGGTGCCGATAGATCGCCGACAATTGTCGCCTCCTCGATATCGATAGTTACTTTTCGATTTTTAAAATACAAATTCTTTTTCAAATTTTGAACGAGAAACGGTCTTTCGACTTCTTCCTCCATTTCCATAGGAGGTTTGCACCAGTTGTAATAAGCGTTTCCCTCCTTGATCACTTCGTCGATAGTCTCGCTATTCCACTTTGCCGCTGGAGTTTCCCTCGCACTTACCAAAGCCATTACTGGCATGGCAAGACCTTGAAGTCCTCGATTTTCTTCCTCAAATGATTCATCCACGTTGGATATTCCACCTCGCAATATCCACGTTTTACCGGCCATACCGGGTTGAAATTCATTCCAAGCTCGAGTGCCAGGTACATCGTCCACAATTGTGACATGTCTGATAGTAAATCGGTCATTTTTTCTCGTAGGATCGATATTTTTCAGGAGTAGCGCAGCCAAGGAATCCACTTCTGAAAATCGAATTATGCAACAATTTCCTGTCTCGTTCTTATCCTCCTGTCCGACGATGTCCTTTTTCCTATCTCTTTCCGCAACTTGGACAGTCCTATCTTCCCTTATTCTGATGCCGGTAGCGTCACAAGGACGAGGATCGAACAAATAGTAATAACCATCTTGACTCCAAATTGCTACCGCCATTGAGGTCGTTTCGATTATGCCTTCGTCGTTCACCAAAAAAAATTCTTCCAATGCCTGCTTCAGATTCAATATCGATGGTACTTTCGAAGTAATCGTACCAGTTACGGTGATCAGATCGACGTCTATTATCAATTTATGCTCGTCTATTTGGAATTTTGTACCATCTAAATAGGCAGCCGTTATCGTTTTTATCATCGGTTTATCGGATTTGACATTAGCGTACAACGAATCGCCCAGCGCCAGGATCTCGTCTAATTTTGATCTCGTCCATGTCTTCACTGGTTGCACCTTCTTCATAGCGATAGCCATCGCGCAGTTCGTCACATTTTGTTCACCCTTGCCCCTGTACATTTCGCTATATTCATGAGTCAGACCATGAAGGATCGCTGTTTTGTCAGGTAATTCCTTGAATGTGGACGGCACATTTACGTGCATGTTGTCGTACGAATATCCCGTATCAAAATTGTTTCGATTCACCAGTGGTTCTGTGGCAAAGTAGCGATCGATACTATAATTTGAAATAGCGATGGACAATGGTTCTTTGTGCATTTTTGCGAGTGCGTGCAACTGTTCCACCTTAGGCACAGGTTTCGTGCAATCCACTTTGTGTTCATCTATATCCACAAGATCGATGGATCGCAACACGCTCTTTCGGACTACTGGTCGACCAACTACGTCGGCCAGACTATCGATGAATCCACGACCGACCTATGATTTTTTTCTTTTTATGTACACACACACACACACACACACACACACACACACACACACACACTACCA